AGACTTTGGTATTCCAAGAACTTTACTAATTTCTCTCTCACTACTACCAGCTCTGGACATACCAACAATTTGACCACGGGTTTCTTCATTTAATTCTTTCCTTTTTTATCAATAAAAATTTATATTAATCTATAATTTTCATTATTTATTTCAGCAAGCCCAATGTATTTTGTTTGATATTTTCATTACTGCATTCACATTAATTCATATTATATATCCAGCTAGTTGGAGTTATTATTACTATTTTCCATTTGTTCAACAAGAAATGCTGCTTTCATAAATACAATCAATAACCTGTTTTTTGAAAATTTATCATTAGTTTTAAATTTTAATAATTCAAACTACATAATAAATTCATTATTACTTACAACAATTACAGTCAAATGGACATAATGAAGTATCTATTCAAAAGAAAACCATTAATGTATATAAAAGGGATATATCTCACACACAATAGTAATTACCTTACCTCCACCATCACCAATTTTTAATTCATTTAAATCATAAACCATCAAACCATCTTCAGTCCTTTTACCTAAATATTTATTATTATATTTAAAAATTTAGGATTTTTTTATAAAAAAAAAATAAAGCCGTCAATCTTCACAACATACGATTTTTAGTTCCTCTTGAATCACTAAAACCATCATCATCATTTATATTTAATTTCCTTTTATATGATTTTGATTTGTCAGTTATTTTGATTGATTCATTATTGATTGGTTTTTGATTAGATGAAACATCAAGTTCCAGTGAATTTGTTGTCTTTTTTTTTTTTTTAATGGATGAAAATATATAATTAAAATTTAAAATTTATGATTTTTTAAGTCATCTTTATTATTTTTTTTGTGACGAAATAACGAAATAAAAAAAATTTACACGATTGTAACGACAAAAATTATTATAAGAACCAAAAACCAAACTTTTAAATTTTTATAAAATATAAATCTCACTTCTCTATATTCTTTTCATTATTCTCATACTTTTTCACATTTACATACAATATTATATACTTTCTTTATAAAATTTTATAATCTTCTTAAACATGGTATTATTGGTATTGACAGAACGTATCAGAACTGCAATCTATCAAGCTATACAATCGCCAGAATTTGATGAATCAGCAAGACAACGTTTGAGATCATATTTGAAAGCAAGTGCTTGCATTCCATTGGACCTTATCAAGGAGGTTTCCAACTTCTTAGTGAGTCGTGATGGAAAACTGGGCAGAGAAATTGGTAAGAAAAAAAGGAAATATCATTATATTAGTAAATTAATTATTAGAATTAATTATTATTATTACTCTTACTTTATATAATAAATACCCGTTTATTTTGTGAATTTATTTATGTCAAATTTCAAATTTGACACTTCTTCTTACTATATTTGGAAAATCTTGGTGTCCTTATCACACTATATCCCGTATTATTCCGGTTTTTTTTTATTTTATTTCTCCGAGTTGCCATTAGGGCGCGAAATGTCGTCACAAAAAGAATTTCGTTTTTTCAAGTAACCCATTTTAGAAAGATTTTCTTAAAAAAAAAAAAAATAATAATGTTCGGATATTCTTAAAATTTCCGGTATTTTTTTATAATAGTAATAGTAATAGTGTTATTTCTTAGGTCAACTTTTTATTTGTTGTAAATTTTTTCTTTTTTTTTTTTCTTCTATTTTGCAAAATTCTTATTAGCCAGAATTATTCTTTCACACAAACAACACACACATCTTTCTAATTAATCTACTTTGTTGTACACATGAAAAAAAAACGCCATTTTACTAATAATTTACTATTTTTTCCATTTTCTAATTCATTCAGGTCTTTCTAGTTATTGGTTACACGAATTGCTTACTGGAAGTGGAATTTATGTACAGCCTCGTAAAGAAAAAGTCAAGGTACTTATATATATATATATATACAATACATATATAAAAAAATTTTTTAATTAATTAATTTAGAAAGTTTTTATTAACATTAAAAAATGACCAATTATAAAAACAAATCAATTAACAATTATTCTCCCTCTCACGGTCACACACATAATTTAGAGTCCTGAATTGGTTGCAAAATTAGAAAAAATATTAGCAGAACAAGCCAATAAAGAATATGCTCGTATGGTTGGCAAAGTTGCCTCTTCTTATGATGTTGAGACTTTTAAATTACTTGATACCGAGGAGTTCCAAAGTATTCGTGGTCAACTCACTGCCATCATCAACATCACCTTTACCGTTGTTGCTGTATTCGCAGCTGTTTATCATGTTGCTCAAACGATTACTGGTGACACTGGAATGGTAAATAATGAATATTTATAATGAATTACAGTTTTATAGCCAGCCAATAATTATGATAAATAACTAAACTTATTTTATTATACTGCTTATTTTCATCTCTCCAATTATATAGCGTGTATTACTTGCTTTATCTGGCAGTGTTATTGTGGGTATCGCAGAAACATTCTTATACATGAGATACTTGACAGGCTATGATTCTCCAACCAATAATAATAAAAATAGCAGAAAAGAGAAAGACCGCAGTAAAATACCTTCATCAACAACTCGTAAACGATCATCATCTACATCCCATTACAGAGCTGCTACTACTAACAATACCACAACTACAGCAGCGACTACAACATCATCATCTCGACGTTCTCATAACAGAAGATCAAACACTTTATAAAAATATTGTTATAAATATATAGTAATGATTGTGATATAGGATATAGTAGGGTATAACATATATAATATATTAATTAATATATAATTAATATATATATATTAATAATTAATGATATCATTTTATGAATAATCTTTTAATTTAAAAAAAAACAATTTTTCTGTATATTTTTCAAAAATTTTTTTTATTTTAATTATTATCATTTGAGGGATTTTTTTATTTTAAAATAAATTCTTTTTCTATTTAATAAAGATTATTAATAGAGATTTAGTTTTTTTTTGATTTCACATTATAAAAATTACGACCAGATTTGTAATGTAAATCAATGAAATAGAACCTTGAAAAAAATATAATCCAAGTAAACAGTCGGTGAAAGAAATACCTAAAGGAAATTATAACTTTGTGGAAAGATTTCAAGCAATTAATTATTTGATAAAAAGACAGAATTGAATCCAAATTTTTCACTTGGTAAAACGGTGACTGAGATTCGTCATCAGGGAATTTTTTAGAGACGTAAAATAGCATTGGGCAACTCCTGTTTTTTTTAACACCGAAAAAAATGATAATCAACAGGTCTTGTGGAAACAAATGATATGAAAATCCATGTTGTATAATATGTAGTAGGCATTCCACGATGTAATAATATATATACAGTATATGTCATTCATTAATAACTTATTTAATCTTGCATGCATTTATCAAAACTATCTTCTTAAGCATGTATTAATAATAATATTATTATTATGCTGCCTACTGTTTCTACAAAAGTGCAAAAGCGCTGATCAACAATGTTGGCATCGAGCTTTGGTGACAAATCAAATATTATTTATTTTGCTCGTTGTTAGTGAACGTTGCTTTAATTATTTTTGCAACATAAGTGCCTAATTGATTATTACGTGGATCAATAAACGTGTAAAATTCATCATATCCCATTTTAATTTAACATCGTTTTTCCATCCAGTTATAATTAAAAGGTGAGAGGCGAGAAACACCAAAAGTACTCATTTCACGTGGCGAACATAGTATCCTCGCTTGCTGATAAAAGCCACGTAAAGAAAACATGTCAATAAAACAAAAATTATAAAACAATCGTTGCATCTTTAACCGCTGAATGTAATTTTTCATTCCAAAAGTTTATCAAATGTAATTTTTTAGTCTTAAGAGAATCCAATAATTCATTAGCGCTATTCTTCCTAATAATCTTACAATGAGGTGTTCCTTTAATTGATCCTCGGTTAGCTGGTAGTGATTATTAAAGACATACCAATTATAGATGTAACTATTTTCGTTATTAAATCTTTAAAAAAGAAACTTACAGTAAAACCGTCTCTGGTTTCCTTTTTATTAGTTATCACTTTTTCCACATACTAATTCGTATCACCAAAAAAAAAATTTATAGTCAAAAAGTATATCATGGCATCAGCTCTTGTTAAGCAAGTTGGCCAAAATAAGGAATTCAAATTCATTACTTTATTATCATATAGAGAAA